GCACGACACACACGTCAGAGCGCGACACGAGGTTTCTAACTGGTTTGTGAATGTACCTGGCGGCCCTTATAGCTTTGGCTAGAGTTGCTAAATCAGCTACGCTTCAGAAGACGTGCACTTCAACCATCTTGGCATTTAAGAGCATGGTTGCCACTTATCTGAAGCTTTACGTGGAATTCCAGGAGACGCTTTTCCGTTCTTCAGAAATGCTCAAGCGGACAGCGACGGAGAAAAACGTCATCGCCTGAGTTTCCCGACACCGTACCTAACGCTCGGAAATATCGTAATCAAAGCACCAAAATATCGCCGCCCGCAAAATAATCGGAAAGGAGGAATGGAGTGCTCATACCCTGAGCGTATAGCTTATTTCCTGAAGCTGGCTTTGGCCTTTGGTGAGACGAAGCATAGAAAGTATTGACTGGCTGTCAAGCACGAGTCCGCGCGGCTGTTGAGTGTGTGTTGACGATGAGCTTCCGCGGTTCTTTCGCAAGGTGGATTCTACGCCATCAAGCCTATAAATCTCAGCTGGCTCTCAGCATGCGCAGTGAACAGTGCACTCGTCCAGTCAATGTCGTCGCTACTTTCAACTTTCAAGGCGCCATGCTTTTCCCGGAAGTGTTGCGCGGCACGTGTCTCTACAATGTTCATAATGATGAATGGCGGTATAGTTTGCGAACAATGCCCATCTGGGCCGTCCGGCCGCGTGCTCACTTTATGATCCGCTCCATGGTGAGATAGATGGCCGTCTTCTCCCGGTACAGGCAGTTGTAGTTCTTCATGCGCATCACCACCTCATCGTCTGGTGGGCGGAAATATGGGCTCTTAGTACACTGTACTAGCCGCGTACGTAGGCAGCTATAGCAGAGCGTTACCGCTGGCTGCCGCGATCATGGCTTGGCGCACGATGAAGAGCTTGTTTCGAACAGCACGAGCTCCCAGCAGCAATAGCTCTCTATACAGGCCTACGGCAACGCTGTGCCAAAACTGCCTAGTGTCCGCAGCTTAGATGGCACTGCAGTATAGGGGCTTATAAAACTCAAAAGAAAACGCAGGGGCCTCATATCTTGAAGCAACTAGGGCTACGAGCGACGCCCCATAGACGTATTGGGGAAGAGAGTGCCCCGGGTTCTAAACCTTCATTCTGAGCTCAGGAATCTGAAACGGAGACTTTATCGGACATATAATACGTCTCAGTTGAAGTGAAGTTCTTACAAATGAATTTTCAGTCACATTGAGCTGAAATGTAATTCAGTTAAAAGCACAGCTACATTCTTCCAAATGTGTTTCTATACTCGGTGTCAGCTATTTTGTGCTACGTTGTCAAAGCTATAGCGTCGCTTGCGCATGCTTCAACTATGTGAAAGCTAGTTTCGCAAATGAGACGCAAGAGGAAGCCACGTGCTCTCGCAAGGGTTGAAGCACTGTAAAAGCTATGTCAGCCTTGATAATGTCGCGCAAAAGAAGCGTTTTGTGTTACGTTTCCATAACTTTACTCTCGAATCTCAACATACTGATGAACGGATTTTTTTTTTTAGAGCGCAGCTCTTAGGCCCCCGTTTCCGGCTTGAGCGGCGTCGCCGTCGCCGTTGGCGTCGCCGTCGGCGTCGCCGTCGGCGTAACCGCGCGGTGCATTATGGGTAAATTTCCCCGCTAAATCTAGCGGAAAAATTTCCCCGCTAAATCTAGCGGAAAAATTTCCCCGCTAAACCTAGCGGAAAAAAATTTCCCCGCTAAATCTAGCGGAAAAATTTCCCCGCTAAATCTAGCGGAAAATTTCCCCGTTAAATCTAGCGGAAAAAATTTCCCCACTAAATTTAGCGGAAAAAATTTCCCCACTAAATTTAGCGGAAAAAATTTCCCCGCTAAATCTAGCGGAAAATTTTCCCGCTAAATCTAGCGGAAAAATTTCCCCGCTAAATCTAGCGGAAAATTTCCCCGCTAAATCTAGCGGAAAATTTCCCCGCTAAACCTAGCGGAAAACATTTCCCCGCTAAATCTAGCGGAAAAATTTCCCCGCTAAATCTAGCGGTAAAAATCTAGCGGAAAAAATTCCCCCTGCTAAATAGCGGAAAAAATTTCCCCGCTAAATCTAGCGGAAAATTTCCCCGTTAAATCTAGCGGAAAAAATTTCCCCACTAAATTTAGCGGAAAAAATTTCCCCACTAAATTTAGCGGAAAAAATTTCCCCGCTAAATCTAGCGGAAAATTTTCCCGCTAAATCTAGCGGAAAAATTTCCCCGCTAAATCTAGCGGAAAATTTCCCCGCTAAACCTAGCGGAAAAAAATTCCCCGCTAAATCTGGCGGAAAAATTTCCCCGCTAAATCTAGCGGAAAATTTCTCCGCTAAATCTAGCGGAAAACATTT